TCAAATTAGACCTCCTATTTGATCCTGCAATCCCATTACTAGGCATGTACCCAGAAGAAAAAAAATCATTTTATCATAAGGACATTTGCTTTAGATCATTTATTGCAACTCAGTTTACAATTGCTAAAATGCAGGAACAACCTAAATGCCCACCAATCAGGGAATGGATTAATAAACTGTGGTATAGGCTCAGCGCCTATAGCTCAAGAGCCTAAGGCACCAGCCACATACACCAGAGCTGGTGGGTTCGAATCCAGCCTGGGCCTGCCAAACATGACAACTACAACCAAAAAATAGCCGGGCGCTGTGGTGGGTGCCTGTAGTACCAGCTACTTGGGAGGCTGAGCCAAGAGAATCGCTTAAGCCCAGGAGTTGGAGGTTGCTGTGAGCTGTGATGCCACAGCACTACCCAGGGTGACAGTTTGAGGCTCTGTCACAAACAAACAAAAAACCCCCAATAAGGCTCGGCGCCTATAGCTCAACCGGCTAAGGCGCCAGCCACGTACACCTAAGGTGGCGGGTTCGAATCCCCAGTCCGGACCCGCCAAACAACAATGACGGCTGCAACCAAAAAAAAAAATAGCCGGGCATTGTGGCGGGCACCTGTGGTCCCAGCTACTTGGGAGGTGGAGGCAGGAGAATCACTTGAGCCCAGGAGTTGGAGGTTGCTGTGAGCTGTAATGCCACGGCACTCTACCCAGGGGGATAGCTTGAGGCTCTGTCTCAAAAAACCAAAACAAAACAAAACAAAAAACCCCCCAATAAACTGTGATATAAGTATACCATGGAATACTATTCACCTACTAAAAAAGATGGAGACTTTATATCTTTTGTATTAAACCTCGACTTAGTTGAAACATATTCTTCTCAGTAAAGTACAAGAGTGAAGAAGCAAGCACCCAATGTATTCAATACTAATATGAAACCAGTAGATGATCTAATATACACTCTCTTAAGAGAAAAATCAATTCAAGGCCGGGGGAGGGGAAGCAAAGGAGGGAAGAGAGGAGAGGAGGGAGGGGAAAGAAGGGAGGGCAGGAGGGAAAGGGATGGGTATGTTCCCACTTAATGCGCACAATGTTAGAGTGTATGGCACTATTGGAGGTGGAACATAATTATAAGAGAGACTACCTAACAAATGCTAACGTTGTAACCTATTTCTTTGTACCCTCACATTAACCTGAAATTAATGTGGGGAAAAAATAAAATAATGGGGAAAAAAGAAAAAAATAGGCATGTGGGTGATAATGTATTTAAATCTTGGGAAATGGAAAGAATAGAAAGGTACAAGGTGCTCTAGTACAAGTCAGAGGCATCCAGCTCAGAATAGTAGGCTGTGTTATTAGTGAAGGCTCTTAGAGAAGTGACCCATGCTGAGACTTAAGAGTAGTTAGTCATTATATAGACAAAAGTAAAAGGGAAATGTATTCTAAGAGAAGAGAATAGAAAGAGGGAAGGCATAGGGAGGGGCTTCCAAGATAATGGAATCTTTGGAGAACAGAAATAGTTTGGTATGTCAAGAATGAGATTATGTGCAGCAGAAAGTGGACAATGAATTTGGAGAGGTCAGCAAGCTATGGTGAGCCACTAAGGGATTTTTTTTTTTTTTTGAGACAGAGTCTCACTTTGTTGCCCTAGGTAGAGTACTGTGGTGTCATAGCTCATAGCAACTTCAAACTCTTGAGCTCAAGAGATCCTCCTACCTCAGCCTCTGGAGTAGCTGGGACTACAGGCACCTGCCACAACATCTGGCTAATTTTCCTAGTTTTAGTAGAGACAAGTCTTGCCCTTGCTCAGGCTGGTCTCAAACTTCTGAGCTTAAGCAATCCACTTGCCTCAGCCTCCCAGAGTGGAAGAATTACAGTGAGAGCCTGGCTCACTGAAGGCTTTTAAACTGGCAAATGATATGATCTGATTTGTATTTTAGGAATATTATTTTCTGTGGTGTGGACAATGGATTGGGAAGAAGCAGATGTGAAGACAGGGAGACTAGAGAGGAGGATGTTCCTGTAAGTGAAAGCAGTAGGACTCGGGAAGAGAAAGCATTTCCTTGACTAGCGTATGGAACTTGGTAACTGTATGGACTGGATTAGTGCAATGGAAGAGAGCTCCAGAGAGACTTCTGGGTTTCTGGTTTGTGCTACTGGGTGATGATGCCATTCATGGAAACAAGTAATATAGCTAGAGAAGCAGGTTTTCTTTTTGTTTTTTTGAGACAGAGTATCACTATGTTGCCCTTGGTAAAGTGCTGTAGTGTCACAGCTCACAGCAGCAACCTCCAGCTCTTGGGTTTAAGTGATTCTCTTGTCTTAGCTTTAAGTAGCTGGGACTACAGGCGCCCGCCACAAGGCCTGGCTATTTTTTTGTTGCAGTTGTCATTGTTTAGCTGGCCTGGGCTGGGTTTGAACCCCGCCAGCTTCAGGTATGTGACTGGCGCTGTAACCACTGTGCTACGGTTGCCAAGCCGAGAGGCGGGTTTTAATATTCATTCATTTCATTTGTTCATTCATTCAACAGACATTTATTGAAGGTCTCTTATATGCTGAGAATAGACAAATCGATTATTCTAATGTTGTTTGATAAGTGTGTCACTGATAGAGGTGGGGATAAAGAGGGAACTGCACAAATAGGACAGTTATATAGGTCACATTGGGGAATTAAGAAAAGTTCCTAAAGAAATAATGCCTAATCTGAGCTTTTTTTTTTTTTTTTTTGAGACAGAGCCTCAAGCTGTCACCTGGGTAGAGTGCCATGGCATCATAGCTCACTGCAACCTCCAATTCCTGGGCTTAAGCAATTCTTTTGCCTCAGTCTCCCAAGTAGCTGGTGCCTGCTACAAAGCCTGGATATTTTTTGGTTGTAGTTGTCATCATTATTTGGCAGGCCTGGGCTGGACTCAAACCCATCAGCTCTGGTGTATGTGGCTGGCACCTTAGCTGCTTGAGCTATAGGCACTGAGTCCTAATCTGAGCTTTTTAAAAAAATTGAGGTGAATGTTATCATAATATAAAAGTAGCCATTTTAAAGTGTACAGTTCAGGCTCAGTGCCTGTAGCTCAGTGGTTAGGGTGCTGGCCACATACCAGGGCTAGTAGGTTTGAACCTGGCCTGGGCCTGCTAAACAACAATGACAACTACAAAAAAAAAAAAGAAAAAGCTGAGCATTGTGGTGGGTTCCTGTAGTCCCAGCTACTTGGGAGGCTGAGGCCTCTCTGAGGCAAGAGAATTGCTTGAGCCCAAGAGTTTGAGGTTGCTGTAAGTTGTGTCTCCATGAGGGCAACATAGTAAGACACTGTTGCAAAGGAAAAAAAAAATGTGTACAATTTAGTGGTGATTAGTACATTGACAATGTTGTTCAATCATTACCTCTACCTAGTTTCAACTAATCTGAGTTTTAAAGGGTGACCAGGAGTTAGGCTAGATCAGTAGTTCTCAACCTTCCTAATGCTGTGAGCCTTTAATACAGTTCCAGTGGGTTACAACCCACAGTTTGAAAACCACTGGGCTAGATGAAGAAGGAGGTGGGGAAAAGTATACTGGGATATGAGAACAATATATTTGATGACATGAAGACCAGAACTACTGTACTTGGAATGAATGCAGATGGGTGTGTGGTGGAAGACAAGGCTTCAGAGGACCCAATAAGAGTGTTCAAATTTTAACCTGATCCAGAGGGCAAGGGAAGCCCTTAAAGGATGCTAAACTGGGGCTTGACATGATCAAATTTGCCTTTCATAAAGATTACTCTTGGCTCGGCGCCTGTGGCTCAAGTGGCTAAGGTGCCAGCCATGTATGCCCAAGGTGATGGGTTGGAATCCAGCCCGGGCCTGCCAAACAACAATGACGGCTGCAACCAAAAAAAAAAAAAAAAATAGCCGGGCGTTGTGGCGGGCGCCTATGGTCCCAGCTACTTGGGAGGCTGAGGCAGGAGACTTGCTTGAGCCCAGGAGTTAGAGGTTGCTGTGAGCTGAGATGCCACGGCACTCTACCCAGGGGGACAGCTTGAGGCTCCTGTCTCAAAAAAAAAAAAAAAATTACTCTTGAAATAGTACTGTTGGTTTTTTAGAAAGGGGAGAACCAGGGAAGTGAGTTGGGAAATTTTATCCAGTAATCCACATAAGATATAATGAAAGTCTGAGTAAAGCCAATGCTAGTGACCATGGAGGAAACTGAAATAAGAAATAAAAAAGATGCAGAATTTACATAACTTGATGACTGACTGGACGTGAGGTTAGAGGAAGAAATATAGAATGAGTGTTATCATTCTGCCTTGAGTGACAGGGATGTTTGTGGTGGCATCCTGGACATTTGAGGGGGGAAATGATTAGTACATTACAGGTTGGGTGAGTTGAATTTAATTTTCCAGAGGTTCAAATAAGTGAAGGGTCTCAGAGTTAGTTTATGGATATAGACCTGGACCTCAGCAGAGAGATGTGGGCTAGAGATAGAGTTGAGAATCTTCTTTCCATTGGTAAATGAAGTCGTGAATTTGGATGAAGTTGCTCAAGAAAAGGTATAGAGAAAAATGAGCAAAGAACCAAGGAAACAATATTTAAATGCATGCAAAGAGGACAGAGATATATGGTTAAAAGATGTGGTCATAATGAGGTTAAGATAGAGTTTATCAAGAGGTGGCAGAAAAATGGAGTGGAACTGAAAAGGGAGAGAAGGAGTGGGGAAGGGGAAATATGGTTCTAATTTGAAGGTGGAGGGTGGTGGAGGTTTGTGGACCAATGATATTGCTCAGACTATATTATTGTCACTGGGGCCCCAAGAGATCATGCAAATCTCTCTACTCCAAAATGAACAATTTATTGCTCCACAAACTTCTTAGAAACAATTTTCCAACTATATACAATTTCTTCTCAAAATAATTTCATGGAATGAAGACAAATGTTCATCAGTTATAGCTTCTGTCCCCTCAATAAAAGAATTTTAAAAATCTCCTATAGTATTCCCCTCCCAGTTCTGAGGTCTGAACAGGCATCATCAGTTCTTGGGTCAAAGAGTCAAAGAAAGGAGAAGAAGGCAAGACTTTGAGCTATCTTCTCCAGGCAGGAACCGCCTCCTTTTACTTTTTGGTTCAGAAACTCTCCTCAGCTTCTTAAAGACAATTCTTCATAGCTGCCTCCTCGTTTTGCTCCCCAGGGCCAGCAAAAGACTCACCCTGAATCTCCCAAATAAGCCTGTAAATAATGCTGGGGTGGGAATATGTTCATGTGGGGCCCTGGGAAGGTTTATGCTTACTCTGGGTATGGGAGATAGGGTCCAATGTAAGATTCTTAGGTCCTTTCTTCCTTTTTCTTTCACATACTGTCCATCTTCACCATCTACTTTCATGTTTGCTTGTCTGGATTAAAACTTGGGATGGGATGGTGGAAGGGAGGCCTAAGGTTGCTTTTTTGTTTGTTTAAATGCTTCCACTTTGGCAGATATCTAGGGCTTCTTTCCTTACCTTTCCTTGCTTTACCTGGGCACAACGTTCTGGGGAATTAAGAGGCTGAGCCCTTAGTGAAACTGGAGGAGCAGATAGGTTTGTGCTGGTGTCCCAGCAACTCTAATCCTTCCTTACGAAGCTGCATGAATACAAGGGAGGAAGAGCAATGACAGATTCCTTTGGAGTTTCTCTAGGGCCTCTCCTTTTTAAAAGGTATGCTGACTTTCTTGGGCCCCTTGAACTTCATTGTCTTGCCAGAAGTGATGAGGGCCCCAAAGCCCTGTTTATGTGAGAATGCATAGGCAGAACGTCGAGAGCTTGGGTGTTTCACCTTGGTCCGGAGTCGGGGTGGCTCTGGATGTCTCCTGAACTGATGAATTCTCTCAAAAACCTATAGCCAGAGCATGAGGGACAGAGTTTACATCCACACAGGCAAAGGCAAAGAGGGCTGTGAACCATATCTGGGTAGATTTCCTGTCCCACTCACCTTGTCCACGCTGATGGGCCAGATTAGTGGTTTAAGAAATTGATACCCAAGCACAGGTAATATACAGAGGACCACACTGAGGATAATGCTCAGGCACATTTGTGGCTGGAGCAGAATGTTTCTGGCTACACCTGTAAACAATAAGCGCAGACAGGAAAGGCTTAAACAGAGCCTGGAGGAAGCAGTAGGGCTGGGAGGTATCAAAGAAGAAAGTTATTTGATATAGTCTAGTCTCTGGGGGGAATAATATAAATGTAAAAGAATTGCAGCTGGGTTCTTTGTGCACCCAAAGTCACTGAGAATTCACATGCTTTTGTCTCCCTCTAAAGGCAGGGTAGGACAGGACAGGAGAGTAGGGGTGTGTGTGGTGGGGGATGGGGGAGGCAGTGAACTGAGAGAATCCCAGAACACTGGCCTGGATAAAAAAATGGGATAGAAAGCTTTGGAGGAGAAAAATAAGTTAACAGCTGACAAGAGGTGGGAGTCAATTATATCTGCATATCCACTCTTATTTTGTACTCATCTGAGTAGAGATCGAGAGGGAAAGTCACATGGGAGACTATAAGCAGTATGCTACAGCATGAAAGGCACTGAACTGGAACCAGGAGACCTAGATTTCAGCTATTTAAGTTTTAAAAACTCTAATCTCTCAAATAATGCTAACAATTCTCACCCTGCCTACCTCATAGGATGCTTGTAAAGATCTAATTACATAATATATGTGAAAATGTCTTAGAAACTTTAATAAGGTAAAATATTTCCCTAGTTAGATTTTGTGTCCTTTGGGGGCAGAAACCATGTTTTGTTCATATCTCTTTCTATAGAACCTAGCACATAGCAATAGCTTTTTTTTTTTTTTTTTTGAGACGGAGCCTCAAGCTATCCCCCTGGGTAGAGTGCCATGGCATCACACAGCAACCTCCAACTCCTGGGCTTGAGCGAGTCTCCTGCCTCAGCCTCCCAAGTAGCTGGGACTACAGGCGCCCCCCACAACGCCCAGCCATTTTTTTGGTTGCAGCCATCATTGTTGTTTGGCGGGCCCGGGCTGGGGATTCGAACCCGCCACATTAAGTATATGTGGCTGGCGCCTTAGCCGCTTCAGCCACAGGCGCCGAGCCGCAATAGCTTTTTAGTAAACATTTATTTAATAATATACTTGGCTCACCTCTCAGCCCTCTGCCTGCTGGGTAGGGCCTTACCTAGGAATTCGAAGATGTCGGGGAACAATAAGCACAAGCCATCACTGTACAGGAGGACTACGATGCAAAAGTAGAAACCCAGGCTACCCCAGATGAAAAAGTGGCTTATTAGTGTCCAGTAGGTTGTCTTCAGGCTGATCTGAAAAGCACCATCTTATGTGCAAAACTATGCAACGTGGGACCTGCCAGATACCTCCCTTCTCCAATTCTGTAATGGAGATTGCTCTCTTCCCAAATTCCCTCTGACCTCCCTCTTTCAGACAGGTTCCCCTCTTCCCACACTCCCTCCGGCCTCTCTCTTTCAGACACGCTCCTCACTCAATCCCTAATCCCACTGCCACTGGCCACACCTGCAATGTGACCACCCAGATCAAGGAGGTTTCCACGATCAGGGAGAAGGACTGGTAGTCAGAGATATCTTTCCCGTCAATTCGCTCTGAGTCGTAAATAGTTCCCATAGGGATAAAGAACAGCACGAAGGAATTGTAGATCCCATGCAGTAAACACTTCATAAATTCTCTCTTGTTGAAATAGAAGTTGTGCTGGCCTGGCTCATACAGCTCTGGGAAACGTAAGCTCCATGTTTCATTCACGTCCTGGAAGCACCAGAGGGTAAGGAGGGAGTTCAGCGTCTCTCCATGGAAGATCCCATCTCCATCAGAGAAGAGGCTGCTCCCCTCACTGAGTCTGCTGCCAGGTTTCCTAGGAACTTCCTCATGGATTACTTGAGAAGCAGAACCAGAGAACAGAGCAGTGACCACAGACCCTAAGTCCTGTTCTCTAGGCAAGGATCTAAATAGTGGAAGAAAGCTAGGAGAGGATCAGGACTGTAGGAAGGACTTGGAGGCAGCTAGATTGGGGAGGTGTGAAAAGGAACAATGAGACTTGGGGGTAGGTAGAAGGGAGGGCTGAATCTTGGGATTGAGAAAGTAGCTGGGACGAGTCCCTAGGCTTAAATGTTCTTTGGGACACAAAGTTGAATATTCTTTGTATCAAAAGCCAGTGAAGGCAGAGGGGAAGTGGATAGGGACCAGTTAGTCCTAAGGAGGTATTCATGTTCTGTGATACTTTTTATACTTTCATAGTTATTGGTGAACTCAAGGTGAGAGGATTCTCTATGTGGATGACATTGGATCATCTTCATCTCATAAATCTGAAACTTTGGGCAACAAAGCTTGGGGCTTGTTGTGGAGCCCTATAATTAGGCCACTGAAGCTGGACAGAACTGTTGAGTAATAGAACCCATCCGTCTTGGTGCTCTGAGGTTGGTAGTTACTTTGAAAATTTTTCTTTAGAGCTACTACCCTGATGGAGACCAGGAACCACAATCCCATAATATTCTGTTTTAGCTATTTTATTCCTCTCTGGAGGCTCCTTTTCTAACTTATGTGCTCAGGACTAGAGGTTGGGGTAGAAAAGAAGGGAGGGGTGGGGCACCAAGACCCTTAAAGCCCAGGGACTTCTGACAAGAACAGATGGGTTTGCCCAGGCTGGCTCCTATGACCTCAGGCATCATACCCACACTCCCACTTGGCCTTCTGGGCTCCTACCTAGGCCTGTCTGCATTGGCTTATCTCATTTTCATTTTCTGTGAACGGGTCTCTCCTTTCTTGAAGCTCCTTGCTTTACCTAGTCCTGCCCTAATAACGCTATTTCCTTTCATGATTTTTATACACACCCAATTTACCATAGAGTGCAATTTCCATGTTTCTCTCTACAAAGATAAAATGGACATAGGAAAACTTGGCTTTCTAAAACAGATACTTATTCTCTCTGAAGAAGGATGCTTTATTTGTTATACTTGTGCAGGTAATTAGCTCCCTTTCCTGCTCTAGAAATTATTCCTTGTATGCTTGATTTGGTAGACCTTAGCTCTTTCTGTCTTTCTCACTCTTGGTAATATTCCCCAAGGGCCCAGGGGCTTTAACCCTGACTGAAGGGCTTGCTTCTGGGTCTTACCTGATCAAACAGACTCATGCCTAGAACAGGGAGAGAGGTGTAGACCAGATTGTAGCAGGTGATAAACCAGGTATCGTAAACTGTCTAGAAGAATACCAAGGAGATTTTGTAGACTCCTCTCTTCTCCAAAGTCCCAGCTCCACCTCCCAGGTCCAAGACAGCTGCCTCCCCCAAATGTCCCTCACCCCACCACATTAACCTAAAGTGGGATTTTGATTTAAAATGTCTGACTGAAAACGTTGACCCCAATCTCTATTTGGTCCTATTATATTTAAAACCCTGGGTCCCAGGCTGGGGCAAGGCCACACAAGCTTTCAAGACTGACCCAGTCCAATCCTACCCTAACTTTCACTGGCCTCCCTTGCACAGAAAGGACCCAGAGTGGCTGCTATGGAATGCTAGCTGTACCCCTGTACTCCCTGGCATATAAATCTCTGGGTTCTTTTTCTGCTTGATGTCATGCAGTGGCTTCTGTAGCACTGAATACCTCCTAACATCAGCAAGCAGAATACATCTGCCTTCTTGGATGCACCATCCTGGAGCCTCGAGAGGGCCTGTTTTCTCACTAGCCACAAGGGGTCAGCAGCAACACATACACGCACACACATCTCCCACAGACCAAACTGGCTTTGTAGGCACTGGGAGTATGTAAGTCCAAGTCTACCACCATCTGTTTCCCCTGGAGCCTACAGCAAGAAAAGTAGTCAGGATCTCTCAAGATAATCATTCCTGAAGTTATTTCTCTTGGGAATCCTTGAGACACTCCTGAAAAACTTCTCATAGGAAAAAGGAGTCCTCTTAAAACATCAAAATCCATGTATCATTTCTCCCCACCTGGGTGGAGGAGACTGCATATCCAAATGTAGAACAAATTCATCAAAGTAACAATTGTGTGTGCAGTTAGGGATGGGGTAATCAGTCAAATAAAGGGAAGCTTTATTTCCAAGTATGCCTCCAGGCGAAGGCCACAACCTGTCTGTTTGGCATGACCCAGAGGCTCCTTAAGCTTAACCTATTCCATAAAGGTGACTTAGGATGCTAAGAAAACTCCCAAATCTAGAAATTTCTCCCCTTTACATATATTTGGAAACTCTAGGTCTCTATACCAGGGAAATGGTGAAAATAGCTTATGAGAGATTTGTGAAGGTAGGAGTCAAGACCAAATTAGAGACAAGCAAGGACAGATACAGTTTGGAAATCTAAGGCTGGAGATGGGGTCAATGTGGGGCAAAGAGCTTCATGGATGGATGGCAGCATACCATAGAAAAAAGGACTGAGCTGTATAAAGTAAGAGGGGACTAGAGAAGACCCAGTGGACTTAGAGATTGCCAGATGATCTCCTACCTGTGCAGAGAACCCGTTGAAGAAGGCATACCAGAAGTGCACCAGGGTGAAAGTAAAGTTCTTATAAAAGAAGTAGCTGAGAAACTTGCACATGCGATTATAAGACCAACGGCCATGGACCAAGAGTAGACGCTGAAGGTACTGGAACTGGGAGAAGGAGAAGTCGCTGTTGAGCATGGCTTGCATCCCCTCATGGCCGCTGATGCCGACCCCAATGTGGGCAGCTGCAATGAAACCCCAGAAGCTTCTCAGCCACAGGGCTTGTTTGTTGGACTCCCAGCCTGGGAATTGTAAAGGGAAAGCTGAGATGTTGTTGTAGGAACCTCTTATTTTACATTTGGAAAATGCAGTTAGGCCCAGGGCAAAATGGCATGCACGTAGTAGAGTCTTTTCTCCTTAGCGCATTGCCCTCTCCTCCAAGTTGGAAAACAGCTTCTTATTCCGCACTTTGTTTTAGACACTGCCACTCAAGAATGCCTGCCATGGCCAGCACTAGAAAGCTATCCTGGATATTTTGTCCCTACTCTAGTTATCTAGGCTCTTTCCTACTATCTAAGATGCTTTGGCTAAAATTGTTGTATTTGGGAGCCACTTAAATGAATTAAAGGTGCAGGATGGATGACAATCTCAAATGATATTTAATTACCTTGGTTTATCTAAGGGCCTAAAACTTAACTGTATTGTGATGTACTTACTTTGTTAATGAGAAAAACCTTAGGGGCCTAAGGTGACTTTTTCTAGATAAAGTGAAGAATATACTTGACAGAAGATAAGACTCAAGTTCCTAAAAGTTTGAGTTAGTAATTCACCATTTTCAGGTACATGTCAAATGCACTGATTTTCTTGCATACACCCACTGCATTGTTTACTGGGTTCACTGAAACCTCTAAAACCTAAACACCAGAGCTCTTAAAACTGGGGAACAGCATATTGAAGCTGAGGCTAAAATATCTGCTAGTGCTTCCTAAAACCAGTACATTTTAGCCATTTACTTCTATTGGTCTGAAGTGCTCAATAAGTTACCTACTCTCCTCCAGCCAGGGAGCAGGACATATTCTTGGGAACACAGCCTTGGGAAGAAAAAGATCTCTGCATTGAGACTCACAGCCTACAGACTTCAAAAAATGGAATAGACTGTGACTCCTGCCCAGGGGCCCTTTCTGTGTCCCTTGATGCCATCTCAGAAAGATGGTATGGTAGCCTGTTGCTCTGTGAATGTATGTGTTCTTGTGGGAGCCATGCATATGTGTGTGTGTATACTCACACAAACAGTGTAAGTGCATGAGTCTGAAGGAGTGTGCATGCCTGTGGAAATGTGCTGAGGTTGCATGTGTAAATATGTGGGAGTGCAGATGTGGAGGAGTATGTATAAATACACAATGCATATAATATGCAGGAATGTGAACCAGCAACATAGTACCACCCAGGTAATTTTTGCCCATAGAGGAAGGAAGGGGCAAGCCCAAGGCTGGGAGCTAACTGCCCCCACCCCTCACATGCCTTTGATCATGCTGACGTCATTGGCCCCATCCCCGATGGCCAGTGTCACCACGTTCTTGTACGTCTTCACCAGCTCTACCACCTGGGCCTTCTGAAGGGGTGTCATCCGGCAGCAGATCACCCCCTTGCACATGCATGCTGTTCGCATCAGTTCCAATTCCAAGTTCCCTTCTAGAGCACAGGCCTGCAGCAATAGGACACACCCACTCTTCAGGTTACCCAAAAGGCTCTCAAGGCAGGGCCTTCCTAGGCCCTTTCCCTTCCCTCCATACCTTCCTGTCCTTCAAAGGTCAGGCATAGCTAATCCCAAGGTGCACCACCCTCAAGGGAGACCAAACTCCCAAGCTAGTCCTTAGGCATCCTCACATCTGACTCAGTCTCCAGTGGGAAACTGGTTAGCGTCTCACATTGAATTCAATTAGTTGAAAGGGCCATGAGGTCAAGTAACTTCTTGGAGGACCTGCTTCTGCTTACTTCCCACCTTCCCCTAAGTGATAGGCCACATCAGTAGTGAAAAATCTAGAAAAGGAAGGAATATGCACTTGGCTCTTCTTTCCTCACTGACTCCTGCCTACAGAAACCTGGGGAAAGGTGTATTTCAGGCAAGGGCACCTAAAGGGAGGGAAATGAGGTGACTTATGGAATAGGGAATATGGACTTATGAAATTTTCCTGAAGTAGGCTGGACTTAGGAAGAAAATTCCTTGAAAGAAGAGAACAGAGTTGTAGCTCTGCGTTGCCCACCAGACTGTAGCCACTGATGACCAAGCCATAGCTGCCATTGGCTTCCTCCTCAGGTATTCTGAAGGATATTCTGGGCCCTGTGTTGGTGAGGTACATGTTTATTGGGTCTGAATCCAGTAGTGTCTCAGGTTTCATCTTGCTCCTTGCTGTCCTGAAAGCCAAAAATAGTGGTCAGAGTCTGACCTGAAGCCCCAGAGTGTAGGAAAGAAAATTTGTCCCAGGTTGAAAGTGAGCAAAGGGGTACAGGGCATCTGTAAAGGACCAGTAGGGCCAAAGACCCAAATGTCCCCTGAGACCTGCCACTGCCTTGGGTCCCTGACCATCCACATGCCACACCTCTCTAGCCCCCATGTGCCACCTGCTTTAGTCTGAACTTCTTCCTTACAAAATTTTCTTAAATATTTTAGGGTTTTTGTTTTCCCCTCCATTCCATCTCTGTTCCTTCTGGTGGTGTGGAGGGCACACCATAGGAAGAGATGGATGGGAATTCTTGGGTTCAGGAACTGGCTATGGTCATTTTCCCATATGTACCTGAGTTCTTCCTGAATAATCTCAGTATCCTTGCCTTCCACAGTGAACACCCCATCCATTTCATCCTCAAATATATTACAGGAGTAGGCAATGTTCACAGCAGTCTCTGTAGGGAAGGGGGAACACATGTCTCATTTTGGCTATTTATAGACAGAGACAGGGTCTTAACAGTGCACAGGTCCATAGGCTCTAACAGTGGGCTGCAGAGCCCATTTGTCCACATTTACCATGGATGTAAAGTTCATTTTTATCAATCAGTGGAGACCATATTAAAACACCCACAGGTGATGTCTACTTTGTACAGAGTTGTGAGTTACTTATCAATAACTAGGATCATTTTTGGCTTCTCTAAAAAGCCTCACCCTATTTCTTAAAGCAATTCCAGTCTGTGTCCACTTCTCTAGGTAATCAGGATGTGTTTCCTTGAACAGTACTGTGCCCATGTCTATGCTAGGTTTTATGGGGGCATTGAGACATGTTTAAATTTTAGTCCTTCCTTTACATTAGCGGTTGTCAAACTGTGGGTCGTGATCCCTTTTTAACAATGAAAATACATTGTGGCATTAGGAAGGTTGAGAACCACTGTTTTACATCAATAAATCTTAGAATTGGAATAAATTAATATTAGGGAAAAGATTAAAAATATTAAGTCTTGGTTTGGAGCCCGTAGCTCAGTGGTTAGGGTGCTGGCCACATACACTGGGGCTGGCGGGTTTGAACGTGGCGCTGGCCTGCTA